GCTCCGACTACTACTATGATGACTGATCCATTACTTACAGCTGTAAGGATTGCCACGATGATGCCAAAGCTCACGCCGCCAGTGCTCGCATCCATGAAATAGGCAGGGAACTTGACCCCAAGTGAGTTCTTCTTCTCGTAGCACCATTTAATCATGCCCTTTTGTATAATCTCAGCCTCGAATGCTCCCTTGCCCTCCTTCCGATCCTATAGCAGCAATTAGCATCATGTCGGCCTCCAAAAAACACCTGCACCTTACCTTATAGGTGAAATTCTTACGGTTTTAAGTGACTTTACCAGCACTGCATTGAGGGATGTGGCTTCAGGTGTTTTCGTCACTGAAGCCAAACTCTGTCATAACAAGAGGCCGCATGACAGTTTTAAGTTCGCTCCGCAGATTAGAGCCTCGTGAAGTTATCTAATAGCAGCGGGTCAGCATGACATAGGTCATAGGCATCAGACCAGTACCAATTTGTAAGCGTCCTCATCATAATCAATTCTCACTCCATTTGCCCGACACGATGCAGCCCATGCTTCGCCCGACCAGTTGCGACTCTCAACATCACCTGGATAGATTGTCGAGTTAGCGAGAATAGCTTGGTAGTGTCCCACCGCAAGATGTATGATGGATGAATAGAGACGATCAAAGTCAGCACATCGAATGCGGCCACGACTGCCGCCATCACCAATTTTGACCTTCTGAACCACCTGGAGGCCTTCTACCTCTGTGAGTGGCGGAGCCGGGCGCTTCACAGCCCCCAGAGCGGCCATCAATTCAACTGGCTGTGTTTGATTTTATCAGTTGAATCCCTAGTCCAATAAAGATCATTCACCTGTTGTGCCACCATGGACTCGACCGAACTTGAAGATACTTCACCCCTCAAGCTCGGCGGCACTCCTCTGAATGGCGTTGGAGTATCATGGTGTGACTTGGCTACTGTGGACCTGCCGTTGCAAAAAACGGTGTTCAAATCTTGTCTGTTGAACATATTTTGCTCAAACTTTCACTTCGAGAACTTTCCTGCATGACACACATTAGTATTATGGCCCTAGTTGGAGCTGAAACATTTACCATACGTGGCCCTGCCTCCTCCTCCAAGTCGCCAGTAAGCAATTGAGGATCGATCACTTGTTGCGGCTGGACCCAAGGCACCACAGGTGTGTTCAAATATGCTGAAGGGATGCTGGGGGGGACATGATGTGTCCGTGGAGTCAGTCTAGGTGGAATACGTGAGACCTGACGGTTTTCTTGGTCTGCATGTCCCACAGACGTTCTGGTAGCTTGTGCAGGGTAAGTGAGAGCACGGGCCTGATTCGTCATACCACGGAGAGGCACTGCTGTAAAAGTGAACTGTCATGGAGGCATGTTAATGAAAATCTTGACCACAGATCTGCAGACTTACTGAATCTGTAGTCAACGGCTCATCATCATTGCCATTGGCAATGTCGCCATCATCTTCTGCATCTTCTGACTCCGGGTCCAAAGGTGCGAAGTCGTTGACCTCTTCGAGAGCCTGTCTCTGGCGGAGACCTTGAGTTGCATACTTTTGAGTCTTCCTGAGGTCTTGTGCGTGAGTTTGGTCCTCTGCAACATGTCATCTTAAGTTCTTGGTGCCGACTGAGCAAACTTAAATCAACTGACCTTGGGCGATTTTCTTGGATGTGCTGCGACGGCGACGTTGTACACGCATTGTTGGCATTTCACTGGCCGGCTGTTCACCGGTATTCCTGCGACGTGCCATTAAAAACACAGAGAGTGCGTCAGTGGAGTCTGAAATGGTGGTTGAAGACAAAAAAAAAGACCTCCGATGCCACCCATATACGCAGACCGGGATGTCAGACCTGTCAACCACTCTCCGAAATCTTAAACACATGCTAAAGATCATACCTTTTGAATGCCCAAGTCAGAAGACCACGTCAAATCGCCCAATAATGCCAGCTTGCAAAGATGTGGTCACTGGCTCCCTACTACATTCAGGTCTGAACAAGCACATCGCGAATTCACTTACCTGCCGCCAGAAATGGCAGGATCGCCTCCAAAACTTCAGCATCAATGTGTTGACCTTGGTGGCAGGTTTGCAGCACCAGTTCGAGGACAATTTCGATCTTGAAGATGAATGAAGATCTGCATGATGCTAGACCACCAGTTGAGGACAATACAAACAAAGAAACGTACTCACCTCCACATCCAGGGTTCGGTCGAGTTCGATCAAGACCATGTTCAGAGTCGCAGTGTCCAGATTGAAGAGGTCACCGATGACCCTGGTCCTGTCGGGACATGGTGCTGGGTTGAAGAGTACCCTGATGAGATGTTAGCTGGTGCACCATGTCGTCCTGCTGAAGACATTGTGCCCACCAAGTTTGACACCATCAAGGATAACCAAGAAGCAAATGGCGAGAGTGTTTGGGGCCCTTTCAATGACGAGGAGGAATGGGAATTAGCTAGGTGGTTGATCCAAAATGTTGGGCAAAACCAAACCGATGAATTTCTAAAGCTTCCTATTGTAAGGATCATGCCATTTGAAGACAATCATCATCGAACTCACATTCATGCAGGTTCGAAATCATGCCCAGGTTACATACCCAAACAACCGCTCCTTCTTGAAAAAAATTGACGCACTGCCTACAAAAGGACCTGAATGGCACTGTGACCTCATCAAGGTGGCAGGAGACATTATTGCCAGTGGATGGTGAGATGTCATCAGCTGAATTAGAACTCTGGCGGCGCGACCCGGTGGACTGTATTCGCGAACTCATTCGGCAATCCAACATTCAAAGATATGATGGCTTACGCACCTGAGCATGCATTTGAGGACAGGGGAGGTAATAGCCGAATTTATGATGAAATGTGGTCAGGGGGACTGGTGGTGGGACATGCAGGTTAGAGAGTTGAACCGGACCAAAGCTGTGCTGTTACTTACTAATGTTCGTTGTCCTCATGGCAGGGCAAGCTGCCGAAAGGAGCAACGATAGCACCAGTCATCCTTGCGTCCGATAAAACAAGCCTCTCACAGTTTAGAGGCGACAAATCTGCATGGCCAGTGTATTTGACCATTGGGGAATATAGAAAAGGCCACACGTTGTCGTCCACAGATGCATGGAGCCATTTTGCTTGGCTACCTCCCAGCAACAAAGCTTGACTGCTTTAGCAAAGGAACTCGGTCCATTGCAGGGTATCGGCTGTTTCATGAATGTATGCGGAGGCTTCTACAGCCCCTGATCGAAGCCGGCAAGGAGGGTGTAGAGATGGTATGTGCTGATGGGAGAGTTCGTCGAGTGCACCCGATCCTCGCTGCCTATGTTGCCGACCATCCGGAACAGTGTCTCATTACCTGCACGAAAGAAAGTTTCTGTCCTAAGTGTCGTGTTCACAGAGACAGCCGTGGTAAACCTCTGGCTTCACTCCTACGAGATGAAGCGCCACCTTGACTATGCTGGAACACAAGCGAACAGGTCGCAGGGTACCCGCCTACACATGTGAGGGGCTGCGCCCTGTGTATTGTCCATTCTGGGCAGATCTTCCTTACTCCGATATCTTTGGTGCGATCACACCCGATATTCTGCACCAATTGCACAAGGGCGTGTTTCATGATCACCTGTTGAAATGGTGCACCAAAATCACAGGAGAAAAAGAGATTGATGAACATTACCAAAAGATGTCCAATTATCCAGGTCTCTGCCACTTCTCGCAGGGCATCTCCCTTGTATCTCAATGGACAGGGACAGAGCATCGGGAGATGCAACGAGTCTTCATGGGTGTGTTAGCTGGGGCGGTTCAACCAACAGTTATTCAAGCAGCACGTGCCGTCCTCGATTTTATATACTACGCACAATTCCACGCCCATACATCTCAGTCTCTTGATGCCCTAGAGTCTGCGCTGCGCGAATTTCACAATCACAAGCATATATTCGTGGATCTGGGGGTGCGTAATGACTTCAATATTCCAAAAATGCACTCAATGCAACATTACGTGGCGTCGATCAAGTCTCGTGGCTCCGCAGATGGATTCAACACTGAATTCCCCAAACGCCTCCACATCGACTTCACAAAAAATGTGTATCGAGCAACAAACAAAAAAGACTATGTTGTGCAGATGACGAAGTGGTTAGCACGACAGGAAGCAGTGGACCAATTCGTGGCTTACCTGGACTGGAGGTTGCAGAGAAAGATGGATGATGAGGAAGCCGATGGCGATGTTGACGATGTTGAAGGTGGCATAGCGCTGAATGCGGATGTACCCGAGCCACAGCCGCCAAGTGAGGGTGATACACCTTTATCTTATGTCCTGGCAGTCCAGTCCTCCATTGCGCGCTCTAGCAGTTGATTATATTGCCCAGACATTTGGGGCGGTCAATTTCTTTACTGCACTCACCCAATACCTGAATCGAACTCCACCACCCCAAAATCCAGCCACCCCCCACAAGTACCGTTGTCAGTCTGTCATTTGGGACAGGTTTGATGCTTACCGGCATCTGTCAATCCCTTATCCACACTTGCAGTGCAGTCCATATGTCGAAGTCCATGGACTGCATCCGTGCAGTGCTTTACACCCCTCCTTCTGGTCGGTCAGCTGGTTCGCCAGGACAATTTGATACAGTCCTGGTGCAAACAGAAGGTACTACTAATGTACACACTCAGGGGACTGCATTGGAAGGTGAGCAAGTTCACTGAAACTTACTAGTAGGGTTTTGCATTGATATGGTCTCGGACACTTGTCATAGGTCTTCAAGTTGCGCAAGTCCGCCTGATATTTGACTTACCAATGCACCTGCGCACTACTGGACAGCCTTTCCACCTTGCACTCGTTGAATGGTTCAATCCCTTCCGGGCACGCGATGCATTGTTGCAGCTGCACACAGTCTCGCGTTCTTATGCGGGTCAAGCTCCTCGCACTGAGGTGATCCCCATCAGTCAAATTTCTCGGAGTTGTCATCTTATACCTAAGTTCGGCACACATGTCGACCAAACGTGAAGGTGGGATTTCATCTTGGATGCATGCAAGACATTCTACCTTAATCCTTGGATAGACATGTACAGCTTCTACAAATTCCGAACCGCCTGATATGATATGTATCCTTTTGATTAATTCTGCATTATGAAGGTTTATAAAACTTGTGCGCAAATGGTTGTATCACCCTCAGCCTTATTTTCCTCGCGTGAATCGGTGGTCTCAGTCAACCGTCGGCGGAAGGTGTTGATCTCGAGTAACTGAGCTCGACGGTTGGCCTCAGTGAGTGACTTCTCAGTATCCCAACGGTGTTCAATAAGTTGTTGAAGGTATCCAACCGTCACCTCGACAATTTCTAACAAGGATGGACCGTTATTCAGTAGGTATGTGCAACTAGGTCAACGACAACAATACTCACCGTTATCCCCGTCGGCGTTGTTCCTCTTCCACATCCGCTCGCTCCCGGGCCCATTGCAAGTTGAGTGCATCTTCCTTCTGCTGCTTTTCTAGTTGGATGCTAGCCCACCGGCGAAGACGCGGACTGTCACGGTGACTCGAAATAAGCACATGTCAGCATTCATATATAATTTGATGTCTCTTACCATTTGGCCTTGGTCTCGTCCTGGGGCATGTTAGCGTTGACTTGGAGAGCCTCACTGGCAGAGGGTGTGCTGGGCACGATGTCGTTGGCATGAGTGTCCGAGTCTGACTCGGAGTTGGCTGTCTGATACTTGGTGGGACATGGGCTGTTGGAGTTGTCAGCGAGTGACCAGTTTGAGAATTTAGATAAGGTCGCACCGCTTGAGAGATTTGCCTGCCATTGAAGTTAGTAATGTGGTCCAATGCGTCCAAGGAAAAAAGACGCATACTGGAGAAAAAAAATTGTGTCTACAGTCCTACAGAGTTGAATGCTGAGTTGAGCCGCCTACAGAACATACAGAGTCTTATTTAGGAGCGCGTGATCTAAATACGCGTACATAGGAAACGGCTGCCTACAGGGATTTCGCATTTTCCTGATGTACCTGAACCAAGAAAAATAGCAATGCTGCAGGTCCGTTGAGGCCTGGGGTTTGCTGGGGCGAGCCTGATGCGTCTGGAAGAAAACATGACAAAATATAACCTGACACAGAAGAACAAGAGGAATGACAAGAGGATTGAATGTGCAGCTGGACATGGTGCACTTCTAATTCTATTAAAAGCGGTTCCAAGTTGAATACTGCACGTTAAGTTCGAACTGGAGGAAAGTTCGAATAGATTTCTGTCAGGCTAAGGAGCAGGGTTGGCAAGATTGTCGAGCCTGAAGCAATAGTAAGGATCGGAGGCGTTGCCGCTCAGCGCTCAGCACGTAAATTACTACCTACACAAGGCCAAACGATTACTTACCATTTAAAGCGTGGGAGCCTCAGGCTGGTGGGAGCGGGACTGCATGACTTAACAAGTCGCTGATTATGCCACAAGTGGGAGCAGCTGCCAGTGGAAGGGCCGTATTTCATCAGTATCTGATCCTTCAAATTTTCAAAGTTCTTCCCTTCGCATTCCAGAATTCACCTCTTATCTGGTCTGATGGTGTTATTCCGTCCCTAGAGTACATACAATGGAGGCATGACGTCGTTTATTGCATGCTTTATACCTAAGTACCTGGAGCTCCGCACATGGAAGTCAACTACTTCTGCAAAACCAACCCTCTCGTCCTTACATATGGTAGACGTCTACCACACTTATTTCTGGACCACATTGCATACATAATAACACAGTTGTATATTAATCGCACCTTCACGGCAGACAGCTCCCACTGATCTGGCCCACACCACGGTATAGACATCATCACGTCCGTGTTGTTTTTCAAAGGTTTGGACAACGTGCACGTACTGTGTTCCAAGACTCGACAGTCATGCAGGATTTATGATCGTTCTGATGAGGGAGACCATGTATCGATGACAGTTGGACTGACATCAGGTCGGGGTGACTCACCACTTGATCGATTAATTTTGACAGAATAGAGATGATAGGTGTGTTTGAGGAGTAGCTGGTTAGGTAGAGGTAGATGTGCGATCTGAGGCGCAACGTATCATTGGCCAGGCGGTAAAAACGAGGACGAAGATTGTGATTGATCATGATGGAATACTAGTCATGGTCACAGATAAGTCTTGAGCGCTTCAGCTGCACAGCCTATAATACATGCTGTGAAGTAATCACGAGGATGTCATATATAAAATGTACCATCACGAACTTCCAGTATAATCGACTCTGACTTGACCCAAACGCCCATTGTGTCTTTGCGTCAAAACATATCGTAGTAAGTGATGGATTTGGACTTTGTTGAATGAAAACTGAAGCAACAATGCACTCGGTAGTTGAAACTGAGAATCATGTCTTCACCCATCGTTGAGACGCAGGAGGCATCGACGATAAAGCCCTGCCAGAAATTTGAAGGACACACCAGATGGGTCGAGGACGCTATACATTTGCCAGGCGGACAACGGATGATGACTTGCTCAACAGACGGCTCGCTGCGAATATGGAACTTGAAAAGTGGGAAACAGATGGGAGAGGACTGGCGGGACGGTCCGGGGGATCGCATAATGAGGAGGATAGCGTTATCTCCGGACGAGAAGAAAGTGGTGAGCGGAAGTTGGGAAGGTGTAGTGAGGTTGTGGGACATGGACACAGGTAAAGTTACTGCGAATGGACGGGACACGCCAAATTTGTGAGGTCTGTGTGCTGGAGTCGAGATTGTCAGCGAGTGGTGAGCGGATCTGACGATGGGACTGTAAGGGAGTGGGAAGTGGAGAAGGGAGTGACAACCCTAGGTCCAATCGAGACTGGGCACAAATACCTGCATGCAGTCGTCTACTCGCCAGACATGACCATGTTTGCGACTGCTGGATACGACGGGCCAACTCCTGAAACTGAGCACCCAGTCAAAATCTGGGGTGCGAAGGCAGGTGCAACTGGTGGATTCGACGGGCTGACTCCCGATAAGACAGGCAAACTTGTCGCCACTCTCAAAGGACACACAAATTCGGTGACGTGCCTGGCTTGGACCCCGGATGGAAAAAGGCTTATCTCTGGTCCACGACCAAGAACTACAAGTGTAACACCAAACTAGTCTATGGCACGAACTCGGAGCTTTCGAGATGTGGGAATGTCAAGCGAACCTATCAGTTCTGAAATTGGGCTGAAGACTGGAGCCAAGATCCCAAGAGGAGCGAATTCGCCTTCTTCGTCGACACTAAGGCAGACATCATCAGCGGCGGTGCGATTGTTGAGGCGCATACATACATACTGGTCAATGTGATCCTCTGGCCTTGACTCGGTCGACTTCCAGTACAGTGGATGTGGACATTGCACATCGAGAGACTTGTTCCACCACACGGCATAGGCGAGGAAATTGAGAACCGCAAAGGCGAGCATCCCTACTCGTATCAAGCGAACGCGAGAACAATGCCTTCCCAGTATTCTGGTGTGTACTGCCATCAAAATGTTAAAATTCTGGCGTTGCGGGGGATATGTACGGGCGGCGAGTTGAGAAACTGAGTCAAAGGTTTTCGGACAGTTCCACTGATGAGGGAGAGCATACATCGACGACGGTTGGACTGACAACATCAGGTTGTGACGATTCACCGCTTGATCGATTAGTGTTGACAGAATAGACCAGAAGTTGGGTGCGTTCGAGGAGTAGCTGGCTGGGTAAATGCAGATGTGCGATCTGAGGCGTAATGTATCATTGACCAGGCGGTAAAACGGGGATCAAGATTGTGACTGATGGAATACAAGTCATGGTCACAGATAAGGCTTGAGCGCTTCAGCTGCACAGCCTATACTACATGCTGTGAAGTAATCATGCGGATTTCGCATATAAAACGTACCATCTCGAACTTCCAGTGTACTCGACTCCGACTTGACCCAAACGCCCATCGTGTCTTTGTGTCAAAACATATCGTAGTAAGTGATGAATTTAGACTTTGTTGAACGAAGCTGAGATAGCGATGTACTCGGTAGTTGAAACTGAGGATAATGTCGTCACCCATCGTTAAGACGCAGGAGGGATCAGTGATAACACACTGCCAGGAATTTGAAGGACACACCGGATGGCTCGATGGAGCCATATATTTACCGGGCGGACGACGAATGATGACTTGTTCATGGGACGGCTCGCTGCGGATATGGAACTTGAAGAGTGGGAAACAGATAGGAGAGGACTGGCGGGACCGTGACGGGGATAGCGAAGTACGGACAATAGCGTTGTCTCCGGACGGGACGAAAGTGGTTAGCGGAAGTGAGGATGGTAGAGTGAGGTTGTGGGGCATGGACACACGCAAAGTTATTGCGAAATGGACGGGACACACAAGACTTGTGAATTTCGTCTGCTGGAGTCGAGATGGTCAGCGAGTGGTGAGCGGATCTGATGATGGGACTGTAAGGGAGTGGGAAGTGGAGAAGGGAGCGACAATCCTTGGTCCAATTGAGACTGGGCACGCATGCGTGTGCGCAGTCGTCTACTCGCCAGACATGACCATGTTTGCAACTGGTGGATACGACGGGCCAACTCCTGATACCGAACACCCAATCAAAATCTGGGATGCAAAGACAGGCAAACTTGTCGCCACTCTCAAAGGACACACAAATTCGGTGATGTGCCTGGCTTGGACCCCAGATGGAAAGACGCTTATTTCCGGGTCGGCCGATTCCTTGATTAGGACATGGAATGCTTCAAACTGGAAGCAGATCGCTCTGCTCAATGGGCACACCAGTGAAATCTATGGCATTGCAATATCTCCAAATGGCCGCATCCTTGCAAGCGCATCGGAAGACGACACAGCGCGATTATGGAACCTTGATAACAACCAGCCCATCAGTTCACTCCTCAAGCATGAAGAAACAGTGGCCGTCGTCTCATTTTCAGCAGATGGAAAGCTACTAGCCACTGGCTGCGATGACGATAAGGCGTACACTTGGGATGTTTCTGCGATATTAAAAGAAGCTGACCTCGACGACCTTCTTTTGGACAAGCCCAACAAGTCACTACTGGCTGTACGTGAAACACTTCTCATTGCACCCAAGCTTATGTTTTCTAGGCTGATGCTACACGACGTCCTATCCGTCAGCCAATCAAGGTCGCAAATCGGGTACCCCTAGGTTTCTTCGACGACACACAACATCACGCTCACGTACGTCGTTAATTATGTCTCATCCAGTCCTGTTTTCATCGTCCCAATATTCTCAGTCTTCTGCACCACACCGGTTTCGCCCTCGATCATCACCATCGCATGGAAGCACCCTTCGTAGTCGTTTTTTATCTTTATTCCGCCCCATACATCACGATACGCCATCCCGACTCCGCCCTTTCAACTGGGTTCGAATCCGTCTCTTTGCCAGACCAAGCGGCGCAGATATCGAGCTGCACGAGCATCCCTCAGCAGCAGTCGATGTCCCATATGCTAAGGGAAAACGTGTATGTTCCTATCGTTCTTCTCGAATATTAAACTCCTGATATTGTATTCTCCCTCGAACTTTATCTCACATCATCTAGAGAAACGCTTCAGCAAGAGAGAAGAGGTTAATCCTGAAACTTCCTATTGCAGGCAGCTTACGCCCTCCCAATAGCACCGTCACGCAGCAATCCAGCGGCGCAGCTCAAACCCAGTCGTCTTCGCAATCCAATGCTGCCGTCTCCACCTCCAATGCACCTCCCGTCACGACTGCAAACACCAATCCTCGTGTAACGATTGAACACGCTGGTCGTTGGGCTCGTTTCTGGCTCTTTGTCTGTTGCACCTCTCCTGAGTATACTGACGGTCATCATTAAGATTCTTTACAACAATCTCTCTCATCCCATGATGTTATCCCATACCGACAGTACATACGATGAAGGCATGGCATCTTTTATTGCGTACTTCATATGCAAGTACCCGAGTCACGCGAATTACTTCCGCGGAACCAACCGTTTCATCCTCACATATGGTAGATATCGACCACACTTATCTCTAGATCACATTGCATATAGGTCCAACTTACACAGTTGTATGACATTCAGTTGTATATTGATCACACTTTCACAGGAGGCAGTTGCCACTGATTTGCCACAAACTGCGGTATAGACGACATCACACCCGCATTGTTTCTCAAAGGTTTGGAAATTTTGTACCTACCCTGTGTTCCACAACAGCCATGCAGGATTTATGATTGTTGGTCCCTCATGTTTGTCAACATCTATTATATTTGCGGCGGCGGTATGGGAAGCCACAGGTGATTGCTTGGTGTTCTGTATATCGACATTCAATCGTGCGAGTAATCCATCTGCAGGCCTTTCGAGGATAACAGATATTTCCAACTCTCACAAAATGATGGGTCGGGAACCGGCATAGGCAGCGCCCGTGTTTGCATCTAATTTGAGGCTAGACTAGCATTGCGATGAATGCATTGTGTGGAGTACAGCACATAGCATGCCATCCATTCATCGTAGACACAGATACAGCAGTTGTAAATAACATGAAATATGAACGCTACGATCAGCTCAGTAAACAAAGACTACAACATCGTATAGCGTCATACGGGCCAGGTTTTGCGAAGGCACAAGAGACGTTACGCAGGACTGCTTAGTGAAGGTAAAACCGAGTTTGAGTGAAAAGCCCTGTGTAAAAAAAAAGGTTCGCAAGCGATTGGGATTGTTAGTCGTAACGTGGAATCATTCTCGATGATATCATCGCACGGGAGTGCGCCGATAGAGGTACCACCTACATCACTGATATGTTCCGTGATCATGGTGAGTTCCTGTCACCCAGTAGATCGATGAGCATTATAACTGAGAAGGGGTACGTTCGGGCGGTTTTGATGAAGACCATGCATCGTTGCCGGTTAGACTGACATCAAGTCGTGGTGATTTACTGCTTGACCGATTATGTTTGACAGATATAGACCGGACGATGGGTGCGTTTGAGGAGCAGCTGGCTGGGTAAAGACATATGTGCAATCTGAGACGCAATATGTCATTGGCCAGGCGGTAATAATGGGGATCACGGGTGTGACTGATGGAATGCAAGTCATGAGGCCTAGGCTTGGGCGCACAGCCTATAATATATGCTGTGAAGTAATCACGAGAATGTCACATATAAAACGTACCAACTCGAACTCCAGTCTACTCAACTCCGACTTGAACTGAACGGCCCATTTTATCTTGGTGTCAAAACATATTGTGGTAAGTGACGAATTTGGACTTTGTTGAATGAAGGCTGAGACAGCGATGCACTCGGTAGTTGAAACTGAGAATTATGTCTTCACCCATCGTTGGGACGCAGGAGATATCAATGATAAAGCCCTCCCAGAAATTTGGAGGACACACCAATTTGCTCGAGGGCATCATACAGTTGCCGGGCGGACAACGAATGATGACTTGTTCAAGAGACGGCTCGCTGCGGGTATGGAACTTGAAGAGTGGGAAACAGATAGGAGAGGACTGGCGGGACGGGGATAGCACAGTGTGGACGATGGCGTTATCTCCGGACGGGAAGAAAGTAGTGAGCGGAAGTTCGGATGGTGTAATGAGGTTGTGGGACACCGACAAAGGCAAAGTCATCATGAAATGGACGGCTCACGCAGACTCTGTGAGGTCTGTGTGCTGGGGTCGAGATGGTCAGCAAGTGGTGAGCGGATCTGAAGATGGGACTGTAAGGGGGTGGGAAGTGGAGAAGGGAGAGACAATCCTCGGTCCAATAGAGACTGGGCACAAACGGGTGCACGCAGTCATTTACTCGCCAGACATGACCATGTTTGCGACTGGCGGATTCGACGAGCCGTATATGTCTGCAATCAAAATCTGGGATGTTGTGATGAAAAGGCGTAGCCCAAGGACTAGCGGGCCTTCAATTTGGTTATGACGCGCGCCACCGAGAGTCTCGTTCCTTGTTTTCGACCTTGTCTATCTTACCATCGCAGTTCTGTAATAACAATATTATCCTATTCTCCTCCTCGGATCTTTATCTGAGCCCCAATAGCAGACTTAGGGTGTTGCTGACATTAGGTCGAAAACAATCTCTTCACGCCCAAAACCATTATTCCACTCTACCCCTATCATGTCTTCAAACAATAACTCACTCGATGTTGATGAAAATATGTCTTCCCCTAACGGCGCTGATGGAAACACCCTTCTTCAACTCCTTGCACAGTTGGTGCAAGGGCAGCAAGACTTTGGCCAGGTTGTCGCACAAGTTCTAGCTCACCCTGCTCCAGTACCACAAACTCCGACTGCGCCAACTATCCCTAAAGCATCAATTGCTGAACCAGATGCTTATGATGGGAAGTACGAGACGTTCGACGCATTCATGAGTCAACTTTTTCTATTGTTTTCCGGCAAGCCATCGGTCTATGCTAATGACCAAATGAAAATCATTACGACCTTGTCCTTTATGAAGAAAGGTTTCGCGGGTACGTAGGGCGACCAATATCACGAAGCAGCTGAGGGAAGGCACTCTTGTCTTTGCGAGTTGGGCAGAGTTCGAGAGGAAGTTGAGAGGTGTATTCGATGATCCGAATAAGAAACGGCTCGCGCAGGTTAAGCTTCACGCACTGAAGAAAACTTCTAAACAATCCGCTGATAAAGATTTCGCTGAGTTTGATCAACTCGCAACAGTCGCAGGTTTCAACGACGAAGCCTTGCTTGATATACTCCATCAAAACCTTGACAAGCCCACATTTGATGCAATTGTGGCTGCTCCGCAGGTTGATAGAGAGTTGACGGCATGGAAGGACTATGCGAAGAAGTATGATAGGAATAAGAGAGCGAACGAAAGGAGTGATGGAGGAGAATTTGCGAGTGGAAGGAGGTTTGGT